AATTTTGACTGTCAAATTCAGAACATTAATCAAAACATTTGATATATCATATGCGTTCATAAATTACATTATTAAACGTTGTAGATCTTTTTTAAGAAAATCGTATGAATTTTGAAGAAAACTTATGTTACACTTTAAAACATATTAATTTTGCTTTAATATTTTACTGGATTGTTGAACATTTAGAGATTTAAAAAAAATTGTTTAAAAAAATTGTTACGTCTTTTTAGTTATGGTGGGTGTGAGCTTTTGAGTGAACTGAAATGGTATTAAACAACATGATCAAGGCTGTTTGGGTTTTTTTCCCTGCGCCTGAGCGTGTCCAATCGATCGATGGCCCTACTGACGAGTTCAACGCGAAGTTGCTTTGAACGTTTTTATGTACATTAAAAATAATTATCTATTCCTTAAGCCATAATAAACTTAAGTTGACTTAAAAGCGATTCCCGGGCCAAATAATTTAATTAATAATACTCGATAAGATGTTTTTAATATTTATATGCATTTATCTTGGGATTGAAACAAAATACAGTTTTTTTTTGGTGATACCTTATATTTAACACATTTTTATTATTTTTGTTTTCTTGTTATTAATTTGATATTTTATGTATATAAAAATATTTCTAAGCAGTGTAAGATGTAAAAATAAGTTGTTAAAATGCTTTGTATTACTTTAGTAATTAATTACGACTGCAAAAACGAACTCTACGTCCTACGATCTATGAATTTTCTATAGTAATTTCTGTTGTACTTTTAGTAATTTTAATTGTTGTAAGCATTGTTGTAAGTAGTGTACAAGAATGTTAATGCAATGCAATAAATCAAGACCCCTCATGTTTTAGATGTTTATATTGTAAAAAGATTGTAGAAGGAAACTTTTTCTCAAACAATAATCTTAGTGTGTTGATTTTATTTAATTTATTTATTTTCATTCTCAGTCGATATGCGCCAGTAGCTTTTTTTGAATGAAGGTGAAATAAAATAAAGGATCTAAATACGAATCGTCAAAGCGCTTTTTTTCACTACCTATGCTGATAGTCTTTACAGGCTATTTCAGCTTCACCTTGACATGTAGGTGAGCTCACGGGGCTCAAATAGGAGTGTTGCTAACACTGGCCCTAGCAAGAGCAGTTTTCGCAGAATCCACCGCCGGCTCGGAAACGCGACCCACTGAGAAGATCCGGCGAGAAACTCAGTGGGCTGTGTCTATGGGTTAATTTACTCGTCAAGCCCTTCGTCGCAAACGGGTTCGACGAGAACGGTGACCGGTGCTTGAGGTACCTAAAAGCACCGTTAATGGATCAGCCGTAATGACGTGTTTAAGGCGACGTCGACTGTTTACCATTTGGCCCACAGGATCGGGTTTATAATTTCCGGCAAAACGCTGTCTTACATTGTGTAATTGCAAAAAGAATCTTACAAGCAAAGTTTGAAAGTGAACGAATTAATTCGAATTTACTTTATTGTACAAATGAAATGTTCATGTAATAAAATTTACACTAATTTTAAAAAGTTTAGTATATTTAATATGTTTTTAAAGCCCAGAAACCCACAAAATTGTGATTTTCGTTATAGAACTTGAGAGATCAGGCCGGGTATTCCTTTTTGTTAGGATTATGGCTTTTTATTTCCGAAGCAGAAACGAGACGACAATAACCGTGGATTACTTTGTAGTGCAATAATGAGTAGGAATAATGTTAACGATACTAGGCTGCCGATTTTAGCTACGTTCCTTTGTGTAACCGAAGTCTCCATCTTTTGTTATTATTACCGAAGGGTGTTTTTTTTTTAAATTACGGTCTTCCTCGTTTGTCTCAGCTCAGCTATTGTAATCAACCGTTTGAATGAACACAAAAAGTAATTTGCCGTAAAAACTCTTACTACGTATATTCGTTAACTGAAACAGTTTCGAGTGAAAGTTGCAATCCATCCACACTACCTGTTGCCTAGCAGGGACATGTCTCTTTATTAGACTTTATTTTGGCATTTCCCATTACCGTAGCGATGAAGATTTTAAAGTCAAATTTACTACTACTATTTTTATTACAATTAAATAATACTGAAGATCATTTTGATATTTTTTTTGTTGTTGTTATAATGTTATTATTGTTCGCGATCCACTTGAAGTTGTTACCGGAGTTCGTAAACTCGCAACGTGAATGTGGCCAGAGATATTGATACACAAGGTCGAAGACTCAATTGCATTAAATAACGGCTCTCCCACATTTCGAACTGTGACTGTTTAGCAATGTAAATCTTCACGATGATCCGGTCTCGAACCCATCGATCCCATTTGTGAAGTCAGCGTAGGAACGTTACTTCGCAACAATACAATTTTTTATCGTGGCCATTGAACTATATTATTAACATAGTAGTAGTACCTNTAGATACACAAGGTCGAAGACTCAATTGCATTAAATAACGGCTCTCCCACATTTCGAACTGTGACTGTTTAGCAATGTAAATCTTCACGATGATCCGGTCTCGAACCCATCGATCCCATTTGTGAAGTCAGCGTAGGAACGTTACTTCGCAACAATACAATTTTTTATCGTGGCCATTGAACTATATTATTAACATAGTAGTAGTACCTCAATGATCGTGGCTGTTTCTAACTATACCTTTTACCCGGGTCAGGCAACAACCCATCACCGACGATGTTTTAGATACGTTCTGATTGATCCACTCAACTCCGTGTTTTTGGATGCTTCTAGGCCTAAACCACGCAGCCATAGCACAGGTCATTGTACTCATCAAAGAACTTAACGTAATACCTAACCCATACAGCGGGGTTATCCCGCTGAGTTTCTCGTCGATTCTCCTCAGCAGATCGTGATTCTGATCCGGTAGTAGATGCACTCGCCAAAGAATCAGCTTTGAACTACTGTCGCATACTGAAGCGTTTGGGCCGTTAGAAAATCCCATGTCTCCTGGCTGAGTTCAAGCACTCTTTCTCGTCTTGTTCAGACCGCAAAACCCTTACATAAAAAAAAACCAGCTTGTTTCGTGGTCAAAATAAGCAGCGTGATGGTCTCCTTTAGCACATGACCCGTGCCTATAAGTGGAAAGATTCAAAACTAGAATATGTTTAAATACATTTATTTATCGTATACCAGCATAATGAAACACAAGTGACTCATACGATAAAGTTAGGTACAATTCCGGGTACTGACCGCATGTAAAGCTGCAATAAATGCTTCGGTATTAGATTCTACTTTAAAACTAATTTTATTGAAACCTAATGTCTCCATAAGGTTAAAATTGCAAAGAGCTGGTCTAAATCTGCCTATAATACCAACGAAAAGGCTCAACAAATACCTGTCGTGTAAATTATTCGAAGTTAGTCTACTGAGAGGCTTAAATCTTGGTATAAGCTTAATACCAAACTACAAAAGTTGATTGATTGTTGTCTGAGATGTTCTAAGAATCCTTCCAACCTTTATAAAATATTTTTATAATGAACTAGCTGACCCGGCAGACTTCGTAGTGCCTCAATCGATAAATAAAAGATCTAAGCTTTTGTATAAAATAAACTTAAAACAAACAAAGAAATCCGTCCGACGAAAATTGTTATTTTTATTTAATTGCGAGCATTTTCTTATTATCTACCTTTTAAACCTTCTCTGGACTTCCACAAATAATTTAAGACCAAAATTAGCCAAATTGGTCCAGCCGTTCTCGAGTTTTAGCGAGACTAACGAACAGCAATTCATTTTTATATACATATATAGATAGATAGATATGGCTTAACGAATCCGGTCTCTACAATAACATATACCTAAGCGACATTCCGTCCTAAGTAATTTTCTTGGATATTTCGTATCCAACTCCCAACCTTGATCTTAGGTACTGGTGGTGGCTACGACATTTTACTAGCCCATGGTGTTTACTTCAGTCCTGATTATGTCTGACACGATGCGTTTAAGAGTGTATAACATGCATATAAATCGAACAGTAGTCGCACAGTGCAACTTCAAATACAATATATCCAGGTATTATTACTAAGGTGCATATCGATTTTGGTAACCGTATCTAGCTAGACCTAAACTTGTCTGCATACCTTCACTAATAAATGAAATCGATTCAGGTTACAACTCGCGTCACTCAAGAAAGCGCAGCGATGCGATGTGCATGCGATACATTTGTAACAAGTTCTAATAGTGAAACATATTCATTCATACGTTTGTTGTAAACTTAATCTTTAGATTTTGGAGTCAGTCGCACCGATACAACAGTCATTTTTTTCTTTTTTAATTCATATCTAATCAGATAAATAAATCGGTTGCTCAAAGACTTAACAATGAAATGTAGAGACGAGAACATTAAAATATTAAAATTGAAAATTTACGACTCTACTTTGCTAACTATAAACTAAGAACTTATCTCGTTTAGTGAACATTTTTGGTACAATGGCCCTGGTTAGCTCTAATTATGGTGAAAGAAAGCCATAAACACAGTTACCATAGGTATGTGAGTACGAGCTGTGCGATGACGTAAGCAAAGTTCGAAACCGGTCCGGGAACATTTCTGCTCGAGATGTGTGGGAAATAACGATAGAGAGTAGATTATAGTAGATGATAGTAGACCAATATGGATATTAAGACTTTTTACACTAAAATAGACTGATTCCAGAAAATAATGAGATTAAATAAATGAAAATATGGCTTACTCTACATGCTCTACGTTTCAAATTAATTCATGATTTGCATTTGCAAAAAAGTCTTTAATCCTTGATTTTAATACTAGTCTATTAATTTAATCCTCTTCTTTTGTTGACTCAACCTCTGGAAGGTGCCGTAAGTTTCCGGATTCATTGTGGGCACTACGTGCGTGCTTACAGTTTTTATGCATGTATTGGTGGATGGCAGGTTCTACCGGCGTGCGGCAGCGGAGCGCGGCCCAGGGGGGCATACTTACTACGTGATTAATCCGCGCCCCCTACCCCCGCCCCCCCGGGCGGCAGGCGGTGGGCCGCGGCCGGGCGCTCCGTACTCGCGCCGGGTTTCCTCGTCCCCGCGCCTCACGGCCACTCACTACGCACGGGGCTCCGCGTAGTGCCACTGCCAGTCGCGCTGCGACCTGCGCCGACGTCGCACATCGTTCGCATATTTCTGATCGTCACATCGACCCGTCATATCATTCATGCAGATCTCTGCCCGTTGATTTACCTGCTGTGACCGCAGCGAGAAGACGCGCGACCCGCGAGTGACAAACAAAAGCGGCCGTCGCATCCGTGCACTTTTCCTTCGGTATTTGAACGCACGGAACCAGTTAAGAGTGAACGATAGACTTTTCCTCGGATGAGACCTCCGGCTTACCGCCGTTTTAGTGATCCACGGCCTGCGATGCTGCGCCCGTGACCGTCTCAAGACAATACCACGAAACGTAAGGAAATAATTTTGATGGCACAATCGGGTGGCTTGCGTGCACGGCCCGCCTTCCTATTTGCATGGCGCATACGAGTGGATTTTATTTTCGTCTGGCGGGCTGTGTGTGCGCGGGCGAGAGTGTGCGAGCCGGCGGTGGTGTGCGCGCTGCTTGTCTGTGTGTGTTCCACGGTAGAGACTTGAGACGGCTATTCTCTGGTGCTCCGCTTTATTTAGGTTGTTTCCGAGCGTATCGGCTCGTTTAAGTCTAACACCACCGCCTACCTCTATCACTGCCTCTATCTTAAATTTAAGATCATTTCATTCAGAAAATTTTAGGCAGTAGTAATGAAAGTACTGCTATGTGTATTTGTATCATGAAATCAATACAAGAAAGGTACTGAATTCATTCAATTTGCCTGAAATGACTGCTATTCACAAATCGTTAGAGTCGTCAGAGTAAACAAGCAAGGTAGAGCTAGCTATAAGCAATTCCTCATAGACTGTGTATAGTGGTGTGAGAACCGGTCCAACAGTGTTACCGTGTTGGCAATATTAACATTTTCTACAATTCAATGTGCGTTACATGTCAATGATCTCGGAACACTAAGATTTTTCTTTTGAATCTAAATGTTGTAGCCCTTCTTTTGGAAAATGGTTTGTTTATTTGTTACTTTTGAGCCAAAATATCACGGGTTTTGTTGGACGATAAACATTTACGATTGATATCCAATATCAAACTTGATATCCAAGATAAACCGTCCGTTTCTCAGTCGGAATAGTTTAATGGTGTAAGCTTATTTACGACACCGTTAATGATCAATTTAATTGTATATTTGGAATAATTTTAGCGATGGCAACTTCAAAGTGATTACACGTGTGTGCTTTAGGTACTAAAAAATATTGGATCTTAAAATATGATCGAACAGATAATAACAATTCGTCAAGTTTGAATACGAACTATACATTTATTGTACCAGAATTCATAATTTCTGTGTTTACTTACTCTAAATTACGTCATCTGAGGTTAATAACGGTAATGTAGACACAGAGCTCGCTTAAACAACAATTAGTAAGGGACAAACTATGCCGATAACAACGTGGTTTAAATAGTTATTGTTCTAATTGTAATTAGCTTTAATATTAAACATGTTTATTTTAGTTAGGGGCATCATTCATAGCCGATAGTATACTTCAAATAGCGCACGTTGGAAAAATGCGATGTAGGTAGTATTAATTTTATTAGTACCTATTTGCAATATTGAAAACTGCAACAGTATCTATATTACCCGTAAATCGGTCGTATATATATATAATATATATAAAGGTTGTATTTGATACAAGAAAAAAATTTAATTATATAGTTGTAATTATATTAAAATTATAAAAAAACCCGACCTTGAAGGATTAACGAATATCGAATGTGTAGTAAAAAAATACCCCATTATGGAATCTAATTGATAGAGCGTTGTTGATAAATCTGACAGTATTGTTTCCATAACAAATTGTTCTGTAGGAACGTCTAAGCAATAATACAACGTGTAAATAAATATTGCTCAAGTTTAACGTTATTATTAGAACAAATAGGAAAACTACACGGTCGAGTCGGACTGATACCCTCTGACCGATGACATATCCACGTTGTTGTCATATTTATGTAAAATTATATTTCTCGGCACCAGAAATATAACGTGTTTTTTTTTTTTTGCAAACTTCCCTCATGAATTGAGTTTTTAGTTTTTTTCGTTTAAAAAATTTCTCAAAAATAACTTATCCTATTATAAAATGGTAGCATAAATGCCAGAACACTTAGCATGACACATGAGCTCGAGTTCTTAATTGTGTTGTTTAATGATTACCTAATCCCATATATTTAGTCAGAACACACGGCTGTTTCACGGCAGAAATCCTCCTCGCGTCGTTTTCCTCATTACTGAGGGTCGAGACTCCCCCGCTGAATCAGTTTCTCCCGTACGACTTCCCTCCATCTGCCGCGATCCTTTGCTTCATAAAGGCATTGTGGAAATTGATGCTCAGAGAAGATCGTATTTGGTCCGACCATCTCGTGGGACTGCGTCCTCTGGGACGTTTGCCATCTACCTTTCCTGTCACCATCAGCTGTTCAAGATTGTGACCCTCTTTACGAGCAATATGTCCGAAGAATACCAGCAGAAATAGGGGATGGCAATACGTACACGTGTAAAATGCTATAAATGAGTCGTCTATTATCAAAGGTGGCAATCTGTGCATTTGGACAAAAAAATGTTATTGATATGTCAATACAGATTGATTTGAATATAATCGTCTCCTTCAAAGAATACGGTTCAAAACCTGCATTAAATAAAGGTTAATACTTAACCTGTTATTTATCTAAGATGTCGTTCAGAAGAGTTTTGTGACTGCCAANCCTTCAAAGAATACGGTTCAAAACCTGCATTAAATAAAGGTTAATACTTAACCTGTTATTTATCTAAGATGTCGTTCAGAAGAGTTTTGTGACTGCCAATGGAATACAAAGTCAATAATTCGTTTTTCTGATTTACCAAGAATTGTCCAAAAGTCACATTGCCGGCTTTGATAATAGTCGACTCAAATATTATATCAAGTCGTATGCCTATCAAATTATTATACCTGTTTCAACCTTGTACCGTAACAAGTGCAACAATATAATAAAATGTTAGATAACAACGGAAAGTAAACATTATTAATGATATAACTATTTAAAGCACGTAATATTGGTTAATATTATCAAGAAGTCGTTTTCCTAGAATGCGAGTCAATTTAGATTTTATGTCATTAAAGTTCTGGTCACGTGTGGTAAAATATAGAACGGAATATAATATATAGTATTGATGTGATTTACTCATCTCGGCCTTCAGTGTAACCATTGTACGAAATAGCATAATAGTGCAGACCTTGTGAAGGAAGATATACGAAATTATAATAACGAATTCATAGATGTAGGTGTATTATGTTATTTTTCTGCTCGGGATAACTTATACAATCTTAAAAGTTGTTTCTGTCTTCTAGAATTTCAATTTTTTAATTAATACTTGTGACCACTATTCATGGGTGGTTGTCACAAACCGAATAGTGTATCAAAATATTCAGTTATATTGATAGTGCTATGCTTGAAACTTTCCCCTGAAGTGCAAACTACAACTATAGGCAGTTTTAAATCAACTAGAGGTTCCGCAGCAGTCGAAATTCGACTATAATTAATTGGAATTGTAAGTTTGTACACTATTATGATTGTATTTTATACTTCTATAATCACAAATTTCGCCAAGACTACACTATAAAAAATATTAATAAAGACAAACAATATTTAATCTATTCTCAATTTGACAACAGACGTCAAGAACAAAAGTTTGACAATAAATAGTATGCATGCGTGTNAAAGACAAACAATATTTAATCTATTCTCAATTTGACAACAGACGTCAAGAACAAAAGTTTGACAATAAATAGTATGCATGCGTGTGTGCGTCAAATACATGGTATGTAGTGTGTGTAATGTTTTCTTTATTGATTTAATGTATCTTTTATGCATTATTTAAAAAAAATATTAGTATTGTGCACTTCTTCTCTATATTCTCTATAAGTGAGGAAAATCTCATACTCCTCCGTCCGCGCAATTTTCGTAAAAAGGGATACAAAGTTTTTGCTTCACGTATTAATATATAGATAAGATAAATGAAGGTGTATATTGAGCAAGCTACGTAATTCGAACTACGACTCGTATTAACAATTTAATAGGAAAAAAAAAGCATTTTACATATGGTCCCATACTGACAGCACATGTGTAAGTCTTGGAGCGTAATCATTAATGTACATGATCTTACAAGACTATTAAGTTTAGTAATTTTACTAACCAGAACATACGGGTGCGTGACGCTGACCATTTCAAACTACTTCCACTATCCCATCTTCTCTATGAATTGGCAATATCGTTGTCTTTTTAACTTGACCTTCCCGTAAATTAATACTCTGATTTTCCATTCCAACGCCTTAGACTAATGAAGAGTGACGTTAGCGGTCATAACCGGTTTTAACTGTAAACTAAATCACACTACAAATTGGGTACATGTTGTTTCGACACTAAATATTACGAAGGTGGTAAACGGAACTTGAGCTAGAAAATGCTAAGAGTAATAACATGTTCCCAATCTTAAGGCATAATCTAATCAGCCCACTGAGTTTCTCGCCGGATCTTTTCACTAGGTCGCGATTCCGATCCGTTGGTAGATTCTGCGTAACAATGCTCTCGCTGGAGCTATCGTTAGCAAGTTCTCTCAGGTTGAGCCCGTGAGCTGACCTACGCGTTCGGACGTAGTTGGAATAGCACCTTAAGTTACCAGAGAATAAGTAGGGAAAAACAAGGCACACATTAACGTACAGCCTTTATACTTGGCAGCGAGCTTGAGGTGTTAATATTGATGGTCTTTTTGTATTAATCGAATTTTTTAATGATTAAAACTGATGAAATGATAAAATGGTAATTAAATCTTGAAACATTGGATGTTAAATTATATCATATTTCTATATTTCGCTAATAATGTGCAATTGACCTTGATTGTCTGGGGTGCTTCACTGTGCTAGTTTTTTATTAAAATGAAACACGTGTATTGTCTGTTTTTGTATAAAAAAGAATAAATTTTGATATTCGATGCTATTCAGTCCCTATTAATAATAATAATTATCACCTCATTTTTGGTATTTTTTTTGTGATTAATTTTAGAGTACTCTCTCGTACATCCAAGCAGCCTATATAGTGATCTAAGTCTTGTTCATTTGCTATTAGACAATGCTTTAGATTGTTGCCGATCATTCTCTCTCGTGCTCGTGATAATAACATGCTTATAAAATTAAACTAGAACGATTTGTTTTGAATGTTGCGAAAAGCGTCGAGATAAATTTTTACAGCTGTGTTATATATCGGTCTTTTATCTGTATTTTGAGAACGAGTAGCAGGGGTCAGGCTATTACATTAATTTAATAAAAATACATAAATAACAC